ATTTGGTGAAAACGCCCTTGGCGCCAAATTGGCGCAAGTTGGCGCCAAATGGCGCCAGCGCCAAAAGTGAAGGTCATATTCGTTATCAGGGCATCGGATTACCCCTATAGGCAAAGTTTCATCGAAAATTAAAGTTTTGAGTTTTTGGGGTTGTAATAGTGGAATAGTACCAGGCTCGAGAATCTAATGAAACTCCTCACAACAACAACATGACAACAATCAAGCAGCAACAGACAACATGCATTCAGACCTTCCTTATTCTTCTCGCTTCCATTTTCTGAATAAGAAACAACTCAGCTTGAAAGTAGTAAGTTGCAGGCAACAATGAGTACCCACTGATGCCGCAAAAATTCAAGACGTACGACGCACCTTCAGGATCGAGGCGAGAGTGATCAAACATGGTCTCTGTGAAGGGATCCATGGAGGGCTTTGCAGAGGTCTTGCGCTCTGCAGAGGTTTCAGCAGGCTTTTCTGCAGTGGTCTTTGCAGTAGGTTCTCCCTTTGGTCGTTCTTAGACTAATCGGAAAAAAGGTCGGAGAACAGTTTGCTGAGGGGTTGTCATACTCGATCGCTCCTCTTTTGTTTTCCGTTGCTGTTTCCTCTTTTGATGCTGAGTACGTTTTGAAGCGAGATTGGTTTTCAAAATTTCAAACGATAAATTGGCCGATTCCATAATGCTTTCTAGGGTACGCCACGTGATTTACCTTCTTTCCGATATCGCTAAAGCATTTCAATGTGCATTAGCTTGTACGAGCAGCTCCAAGATAGGTCTGCGACCAACTATTTTTTTGAGCAACTATAGAGTAATTATCTGTAGCGGTTCGGGTAAGGTTAGAAGGGCTTGGCGGCCTAAGTTTGCTTATAATTTTGTCGTATGTATGTGCAGGTAACCGTGATGTAGTGATATTCCGAGGGGATTGATTGATGGCACATAGAGCAATTTTGAGAGCTCTGAGCCTAGAGATATTTCAATCTATAAGGAATCGCAAAGTACATCGCTATTGGTAACTCATGATACCCCTATGGTCATTATACCGCTTTTCCGTCTTTTGAGTAATTTTTTCGAACTTGTCTAATTCTGCAGTTGAGTGTGGTCATACCACATTTTGGGCTTGCAGCGTTTTTTTTTTTAATTTTTGAGACGATGAAGTTAATTTCTATTGTGGTGTTATGGGAAGTGTATGTAGTTACTAGTCATTCCTATAGTGTTTCAAGAGAGTTCCACGAAATCAAAGAAAGTTACAGAAGAAAAGGCAAGGTGTCTGGAGAACAAGCGAAAGGATTTCATTTGGATCCAGTCTGCAAGCGGTCGAAAAACTCTCCAGGGGGTAAGTCCTTCTATTGTCCTAATAACGAGTGAAGTTGAGATAGCTTTCAGGTGTTGGCATGCATCCGCGAATGTTGCATACGCTTACATCTTAGCAATAAATGTGACCTACGTCTGGAGGTTCCTCCCTCGCAACCCATAGCGGAAAGACACTTCCTGGCAGGCAAGAATGGATCTGATGCGTTAAAGGTACATCTTTGAAGTTCTGTTCTTGAAAGAACCATGTTGTAGAACTCATGATAGCACTCATGATGCGCTTTATTTTAATATTTCAATATTTCAGGCTTACGTCACGCTTCTCGGCGATAACGTGATCCAAGCAGAAATCATTCTCAAAAACGTGAAGTCCGCAGGAGGTGTTTTCCGAGCTGTTGCCCAACCGGATGTGCAGTGGAAATTACAGCAATTACAGGTTTGAATATTTCGGAACACAGGCTCATCTTTGTAAACTAGTCTTATTTGGTGCTTCGAGTCTTATCGGACATTAAACATTGCAACATTCAATGGTTTTAAACCTTATCATCTACAAGGACTGTCCTTTTTGATTTTATAAATTTGATCACAATTATCAGCCTCGGGACAATTGTACACTGTGGCACGTACCGATCCATGCTCGAAAGAGTATTGAAGTTAAGGATTGCCTGCGGAATCGCTGTATTTTGGCAACCTTGTTGTGTTGTTTTACGTGTTTTGACTGGTCTTTTTACCTGAGGCTCAGTTGTTTGAATTTTTGTTTTTTATTTACCTTTGTTTGTTGCAGGATCTTGGGAATCATATCGCACGTGTCTCAGAGCAGGCATGTGAAGTTGATGCTCGATTAGCGGAGCTCTCTCAGGCTCGAAAGTTTAGTTTGAAGTCTGGTGAATTGCTTCTCTCAGCTGCGCGTACTATGAAGGATGAGATATTAGCAGCACGAACCACGATCATACTACCAAGAAAAAAGTAAGGTTGTTTGCATATTATTTGGTATTGCGTTAGAAAGATATTTCAGTTATCGCATTGTTATGTATGTTTGGTCGAAGGTGCTGGAACTGGTGAAAATACGTGAAAAAGGACGAATCACCAAATTTGGTCGTAAAAGACCGGTCTTGCAAAATCTCATTCTCAAAAATATATATAATTGAAAATTCCATTGCTCATGCTCCTGTCCAATGAGTTTTCCGAGGTTTTTTGGGCTACATGCTCGTCTCATGACTTTACTGCCTCTGCATGTACTAGATTAATTTATACAGTATAATAAAACATTCAAAAAGGAAGCTATTTCAGGTCCTTGCTGGAATTATACAATTTTCCTCCCACTCGTCGCTTCAACCCTCCTTTGCCGCAAGACCAGCTGATGTCGTTCTACATATCGAGCTGTAAACTTGTAAGTTTTTAAACTCCGTGTTCATGATACTGAAGAGTGATTCATGAGAAGGATTATCGGGCTGCATAAAGGTGTTGGTATGCTTTATGTTGAACAGTTTTTTTCTCAGAAACGATGAGCACGGTTCTGTTCTCATCATCTCTCAGTTGTTATTAGCAGTGGTATATTTTATGAATTATCACGCTAACCCTAAAATACCTATTTGTGCGGCGGATTCGTGATCGTGCGAACTTGAATTTTGCAAAACCAAAGATGTAGTTTGGCACCGGAAAAGGGCAAATTGAGGTGGCCCGTCAACATTGGTTGGTCGTGTTAAGCTTAGATAACAAAGTTCACGATGGTGCAGAGGGTTTACTTCACATGATCCCTATTATAATCTGACCTCTGAAGATAGGAAATTCTTATCTTTTGATTTTATTAATGCTTTTTGCAAGAGCCCACTCACAGGTGAGCCTGGGCTTTAAGCTGACCTAAATTCGTTTAAGTGATAGGCATTTTATTCCTGAAACATTGTCTTGCTTGGAGGTACTGCTGTAATAGAAAAAAAACGGAAACTGGGGTCGGAAATTGGTCAAGACGTTTTGCATGTCCTATATTTGGTGGATACCGTTCAGGGCTTACTTGGATAGCTGACCCTTCCGCGGTAACCTGGATGGGTCGTATAAATCCCTGATTAAATTTTGTCAAACTAGGTTCGATTTTAAACAGTCAAGGGGCTCACTTACCATACCTTCTTGTGCTTTCATCTCTTGGCCACCATTTATATATACATGACTTCAAATCTCATATTTTAAGGTTTGCGCATCGTACCATATGGTGTCGAAACAAACTGCTCCTCAAGGACTGTCGATTACTGTATCTGAATGTCAGTTAGCTTATTTGGAAGAAGTACTGCAGCAGTTAGATAACGCCCTAGCACATCTACAGAGACTAATAGACTTATTAGATAAGTGCCGAACTCCGTTAGATTGACTTCAGTAGTTGTACAAATTCACTTTAATAGTTGATTTATTGTTTGATTTTGTTGTTTGATTTAGTCAGAGTTTCATGAGATTCCTATAGTGATATATAGATACTTAATTTATTCACACGCTACTTTTTCGGTTTTCTTCGTGCTTTCCCGGTGCAAATTTAACTTATTCACTTTATTTATTTTTGACGGAATCCCTGTTGTTCTAGGTTTTCTTTTTTATGTTCATAATATATTTATTGTAGAAATTATATGAAGACAAATTTTGAGCAACGCTTAAAGGTACGTTGTTGATCTATGGTGAATCCTCTAGTCTATCGTTTGAATATGAGATATTTATGTGCATGCGAGAGAAATAAGATGAGCTTCACTTTGTTCCTTAACTTATTCATGCTCTAATGTTATAGTTTGTTTCGTGCCAGCTGTCTGTTTGCAGTTTGCTCGTTCACTGCGTAGCTCTGCAAGTGTCCTCGGCATGCACCCGTTCACACTATCGATCCTCGGACACTTCCTACGTTAAGAACTTGTCTTTGATGTGATGTTAACACTCACTTTTTTACACTCATTTCTCACATTCTTCCCTATTGACCAGTGCAGTTTTCTGTTTCTTTTGCATGAAAAGCTTCTTTCTATCACGATTTGTTCCTACATCAATCTTAGATTGAGATGCATGGCTTTAACCAATAAGAAAATCAATATCCTATCGTGTAACATGGTATGTGTCATGATTGTAAAACAAAGTACACAGCGATTGGATTGACGGCCAGAGGAACTGACGACGGGCAGACCAGGAAGGTTTGGTATTTGCTAATATAATTATTAATACAAAGTGAATTTATTGGAACCTCGTGACTGTGGGAAAAACTAAGGATATACCTAGAACTTCCCGCAGCCACGGGAATAGAATGGATTCGATTTGTGAAAGCCGGCATTGCGCCACACTGCCTCTTTTCTTAGTTCTTTCAATGTAAGAAAGCACACGTAAGTTATTTTTTTCGGGTGTGAGTGGCTTCGCGTGGTGAGATAGCATTCCGTTCCACTACTAATCTGATTTGTCACTTTTGCTACCACTGCAGTAGTGGTCAGTATTCAACATGCGGTCAACGTATGGTCTCCGGGATA